TTGATTTTTTTTTAAAATTAAAAGAAAATCACTGCCTAGGGTTTCAGAGATGCATCTCTGAAATCACCAACTCAGGGTGTTTCGGAGATGCATCTCCAAAAATATCACTACATGTTTAAATATAATGTTCAAGTCTAAATAGATTATTTTCGGAGATACATTTTTGAAACACAATGACTTGGGGTGCATTCAGAGATATACTTCCGAAAGATATTTTCAAATTTTCAGAGACTTTTCCTCATTCATAAGAGATGTACAAATAAATTTCCTTTAACTATTTATACTTGTAACAATAGAAAACGATTGGTAATATAAGCCTTTCATGCTGAAAACCACCAATTTTAAGGTTTTATTATTATTATTATTATTATTATTATTATTATCTTATTATTATTATTATTATTATTATTATTATTATTATTATTATTATTATTATTATTATTATTATTATTATTATTATTATCTTAAATAAAATAAGTACAAAGTTTTTTTGACCAATCAAAATAAAAAATAAAACTGATACTCAAATACTCATTGACCATGACTCTTGATATATCTTGAAGAGATTTTTTTTTTCTTTCTACTACTTTATTTTATTGTGGAATTTTAGGAAGAGATATCTTAAGAAGTATTATTTTCATTCACATTATTTTTTCCAAAGATTTATTTTCAAATTCCTCATCGCAACCACTTTTATTAGCCTTAGTTTTCAAACTTAAATAGTCCATAATTTAGCCAAGTTCATATGTTGTTAGTCATTAACAATAATTACTTCATAATTTTCTCAAATCCGTATAATTATTATACAAGTAAATATATATCAAATTTTGATATTTGTTTATTGTGATTGGAATACAATAGGACAAGTCCACATAAAAATAACTACAAAGAACTAGACAAGGAGTTAAGCCTCCACCCACATGAGCATTCAAGTGATCCTTGATTTTAGCTAGACAAATCTCATAAGAGTAATTTCTCATTTCATCCTTATATTCTTTTTTTTCTTTTTTTAGGTTTTGCACGAAACTTTTAAAATACCTCTATTTTTGGAAATGTATTTTTGAGCGAATTAAAAACTTTTTTTTTTATATTTAGAGATGCACAACTGAAGTCATTTTAAGGGTGTGTACGAAGATGTGTCTTTGAATGAACCTTTTTCTTAATTCAAAAAACAAGTTCGGAGATGCATCTCTGAACTAGGTGAGCATATTTAATTACTCACGTCAGACCCTCCCTCTTCTCCTTCTTCATTTTTCAGAAAAACAACATTCTCTCTACCTCATTCTACCCATTTCAAGTTTCCACTCAAGATCAAGTTTTGAAACTACATTTACTTGTTTCTTACCATTCTCATTCCTTCTACCTACTGCATTCAACATTAGAGCACTTTAATCTCTCACCAACACATGTTTTAGTAAGTTTCTCATTTAACTTATTTTGATTTTTGATTAATGTAGTAGTTCAAATAGGTTAGTTTTAATGCATTAGATAGCTCAAGTTTGGAGACTGTTTATATGATTTAGATGAGTCTGGGTGTGTTGGGATGCTAGGGCAGTTGCAAAAGCACTTCTGCCATTGAAGCAGAACGAAGCTTTTTTTCAGGTATGCATGTTCAAACTAGGTTGTTTCAGGTGTTCGAGATGCATATCCTAACTCTTTCCTTCCTCATAATTTGTTTTTTTTTCTTCAGGATATGGCTGAAAATCAAGGAAACCAAGAAAGGATAAGACTCGGGCGACCCACCCTAACTGTCTTTGTACATCACGAGAGGACTCGTCGGCACGAGCAAGCTAAAGTCGTCTCTCTCCTCTACCTCATGATAGGGAGGTGTCGGCCTTTAGCAGTCGACTTTCACGGGGTCAGGATCCCATAGTCGTGCAACCCATGATGAGGATGCCCTAGTTGTACCTCAGGTCTGAGTTGTTGAGGATGCCCCCCTTGCAGACCTGATTCTAGGAGAGCCCGCAAACACGTCTTTACTTATATAATTTGGAGGGCAAGTGGCTCTGCATGTCTGAAAAGGAGAGGTATATTTTTGAACTTCCTCTATTTTTTTATTTTTTATCTAAATTCAACTCAACTGATCATGTTATATTTTATTTTCAACAGGAGTGTGACTATCTGAAATGTTTGAATCATATAAGAAAGATTCACAGTCTTTATCAGCCCAAGGAAGTCTGGTTCCAAAATATACTTTAAAACTCCTGAATTACAGATGTCTGTGCTACCGGGTACACCAACATCATCCATGCCACGCAGACTGTATTTACTGAGAAATGACATAGTGAGACGTTATCTTTCCACCTCCTCATCGATGAGATGACTATTACACTAGATGATGTAGCATGCCTCATACATCTTCCCATCAGAGGAAGGTCACTTGATCATTCTAAGATCAGCATGACTGATGTCACTATATGATGGTGAATTTTTTGGGATACGAATATGAGGATGTCTTTTAGCAGTGTAGAAGCACCAGGGGTACACATGTCAAGTTTGTTTGGTTGGCAAAATTATATGAAAAAACTTAGAGACATTCGAACATCCGGACACCGATGATTTTTGTGTTACCTACCATAGAGAGTGTTCCATGAGGTGCTTCTTTCTATTTTTGGTTGACACGTCCATGTTTGTGGACAAAAATGCAAACTACGTGGATGTGGCTTACCTCAAATACTTAATCGACTTGGAGTCCATTCATGAGTGGAATTATGGGGTAGCATGCTTGGTTTACCTGTATTCCAACCTGATCGATGGTTGCAAATGGATGACAAAGCAGATGGCAGGCCCGTGTACCCTGCTTACGGTAACTTATAAATCTCACTATTAAGTTACAAACTAATATTTTTTCACACTTGTTACTAATATTTTTTCTTATTCGTTTTCAGTGATGGATCCTTGCTCACTATCACCGTATCCACGGGTTTAAACGTGACCCGTTATATACTCATGATTGGTCATTTACTTGCCGATTTATCCCTAGCAGAGGGAATGATCATATCTTGATGTACCATTTATATATTGATAGAACTCAGGATGATGATGTAACATGGAGGTCATACGGTACTCACTGAGACACAGTTCCATTCGACCACATGGCCTTATGCTCTGGATGGTTGGTATGTGGGACCAACATCATGTGCAAGTATTTTCTTGAGCGGTGCATGTGACAGAGAGTACGTGTAGATCATTCCGCCCCCTTCCAGGTTACTCCTATCAATATTGTATGCAGAGATCTTGAGGATATTCTGATAGATTTTGAGTCGTCTAGTATCAGTGGAGTATCAGACTCATGAGGCCACATCTCAGTGGAGTTATGTTGATGGTTACATGACATGGTTCTATAATATGTTACACCCTTACATGACATAAGAAGTTTACCTACGCTTGCTTGGAGAATGAGCAGATCAGGGATGATAATGATGTTGACGTCTTGCCGATTTGTCAGACTATTATGCAATTGACAGGAGAGGGCATGGATTATGTATTGTTCTAGAGGGGTCGAGATGAAGCGGTTGAACTAGCACATTCAATTCTAGTCGAGGCACGAAATGCCTTGAGTTACCATCGGCAGAGGAGGAGATAGGGGTTAGGATTAGGTATACTTAGTAGACTATATTTTTTATTGTATTTTGTTTATTTTTCACCGACTTAGAGAACCATTGTTTAATTATTATAATATTTTTTATATTCTTTTCTATATTATTCAGTTTTATTAACCCATTACTCAATCCTGTAATTTCATTTTTATTAATTGTTGAAATAAATAACGATAATGCTACTCGAATTAAAATCAATTTGGATTGAAAACAGCACAATATTATTAAATTAGTTCAAGAAAAAAGACGCAAGCAATAATTCGAAGATGCATATCCGAATTTACTCCAAAATAATTCGAATATACATCTCTAAAGTTATTTCTCATTAAAATTGGGTGGCAGTTTAATTTTATGAGGGCGTAGTGACTTCAGAGATGTAACTCTGAATTTATCCTAGAGGTGCATTCGGAGATGCATCTCTGAACTAAATTTTTTCAAAAAATAGTATTTGATGCATTCGAAAATGCATATCCGAATTCATCCAGAGACATTTTCAAATTTTCAAAAGTGCACCTCATATATTGCCTAAATGGAGATCTCATCATTCAAATCAAAGGACATATTAGCCGCCGGTTAATTTGTACAAAGGTTTGTTTCTAGATAAACATGACTGATCGTCGGATTTGAATCCTCTAACTTTAACTTTCATATCTTTCTCTAACTTTCTCTCTATCTCTCTCTTGATCTACTTTCTCTTGCATATTTTTTCCTCCAAAATCAACAACAACACTATTTTTTTTTATTTCACCTAAAATTTATCTAAAATTACTCTAATTTTCCCACCCAAAAATTAGAAAATCCTTGTCCCTAATCTTCACCTCCCAATGAAGAGTATTCATTTAATATTTAATTTATACCGTTCATAAATATATACAAATACATAAATTTAAAAAACACTAACAAATACCGGTATTATAAGTTTGTGATAGTGTATTTACACGTCATGCTGCAAACTTTAGAGATTCTCCGTTAATACTTTCTCCACACATACAAATTTCAATTGCTAGAAACCTTACTAAATTGCTTCAAGTGTGGATCTTCATTTGATGCTTTGCTAAACAAGGTCATATAATTGAACTCAAATATTGCAAAATTAGTCATGTCGGTGGTGGTTGGAACAGAGTCATGTTTCTTTGGATTCTAAATTCAATAATCACTTGTTCAAGATCTTGCCAAACTCGACTTCTTCTGAAAGCTCTCTATTTCTAGGTCAACGTGAAATTATACTGAAGATTGTGAAGTGTCCATACAAATCACACTTGCTGGGTACTAATCAAATACATCTAATAGTGTTGAAAATCACCCTTGAAAATCCAAAAATATTCTTTAGAGATGCACTTCTGAACACACCTATCAACAATATTTTGGATGTGCATCTCCGAGGACACCCTTTTCCATGTTTTATAACATAAATGTTGGATTTGAATTTTTCAAGGTAGTTTCAGAGATGCACATGCAAAATATACTGATAGGTGATTTCGGAAGTGCATCTCTGAAACTTCCTTTGTTTGTGTCAGTTTTGTGCACAACAATGTAGTTACCCATACCATATAAACAATATAAAATTTTCAAAAGTATGAAACAAACATTACGGAAATTTATATCAGTAACAAAAAAAAACAAAACATAATATACAAAATGGTTTAACAAACTAACTACCAGCATTACATGCACAAGCTATGCAACTAACATAACTACTATAACCATTAAAACTACCCAACAACTAACAAACTAACTCCTCTGGAAACCACTAAACACAAATAGTTTTGTAAAGAAACTAATCATCACCCAATCATGAAGAACATTATTTCAAATCATGCTTAAGCTACAAAACCCAACAAAGTCTATTGTTAGTGTAATTTCTGACAGGTTACATGTACTTGTGAACACATTTGCAGTACTCACAATGGAATTGCAGTATTAATGAAAAAATAAATCTCAAAAATGAGCAATCCAAGCCTGCCTCTAATGAGAATTGAATCTCAATACTACTTCAAAGAGCTATGAAAAATTTACAACTAAAATAACACAACAGTATGCACTATAAGTTACTACATCTTATAGCCAAAATGAACTAACACTTGCTACTATGGTCAGATTCTCACAAACAACAACAAAACCTTTAGGGGAACAATATGCTACCAAAACAACCTAAGGACAAAAACAAGTACTAATAACCTTATAAAAAAACAGTCAATAAACCATGACAAGGATCAGAATAAAGATTGTAATCAACGCAGGAAGAACAGAACATTGACAGTAGTAGTAGCAAGTAATTGAAGTAATTAAAAACTGTGGGGAGAAGTCTAGATTATCATTCCATACTAGAATGCAACCCACGCCTTTTGTTACAACCCCTTTGATATAGGAGATGTTGCGAATGTCACAGTGCAATAACTAAACAAAGGACAAGGGCCATCTTCAATTTTTTTTTCTTAAAAACTTCAATTACCGTTACTACTGCTACACACAAATCTATATTCTTCCGTCTCAAACCTTTTACTATAAACCCATCATTTCCTTGTCATTTCAAATCGAAGTATGTGCGTACAAAGATAAACCTAGATGAAAAAATGCAAACTTTCTTCATGAACTGAATGAAAAATTAAAATTTTTTTACAAACAGGTTGAAAAAATTTGATTTGATTGTACCCATAAAAGAAAAACGAAAAACTGAATTGTTTAGAAAATAGAACATGCGTGTTGATTTGATTAAGAGGTGAAAGAGAGTGGTGAGAGATTGGGGAAAATGAGGAACAGCGGCGCCAGTTGAAGAAATTAGGGTTGTGTTTGGATCGGGCGGGGTAGTGTAATTGGATTTTAGCCCAAAACATATTCAAAGAAAGGTATTGCTATTAGCACCTCACTATTCTTATACTAATTTTGTGTTTTTTTCTTTCAAAATACTAAGCAACCAATGTTCTCCATTTTTCTTTTTTCTATTTTATTAGTTTTATAAATATAAATGTAATTATGTGATATTTGATGGATTTACTTATTTTTGATATATTATAAATATTTTTTAAACTATAATAATAGAGAAAGAAAATGGAGAGAAAAAATAGAGATGATCTTGACTCCCACCATACATAATTTAGTAAAATAAACACTACACTTCTAATTTTTTCAAATTCTCATTGATCTGATATATTAGAATATTTTTACAAAGAAAAGCATTCATTGTAGAAAAATTTAATTAGTTGATAACCATATTGAAAACAACAACAACAAAAAGGTAGAATGAGATTGTATAAATACTAAATTATTTGCTAGATTAAAATACTAAATTATTTGCTAGATTAAAATACTAAATTATATGGTTTGATAATAATTAAATGAATAAATAAATTTATTCTATTTAAAATTAGACTATAAAAAATGCAAAAACATCTTTTCTATATTAGAAACAGCTTTATTTCAAAATAAATAATAAAATAAAAATAAAAAATAAAACACTTAAATAATATTTTTTATAAACAATATAATGTATTTTTTAAATTTAATAATTAATTACAACAAATTGAATTAATATACTTATTCACATTTTTGTTCATTAATTAGATCTTGTAGACTATTTTCTAATATAGTATATTGCAGTGAAATTATCATTTTATATCAATTAATTTACACCAAAAAAATATCTTTTTATAATTTTATCATTTTTAATTAATTTTAATGGAATGATTTTATGATCTTTGTAATTTAATTTAATCCTTTTGGTCTAATCAAGTCTAAGACTAAGTCCATATATGTTGCAGTATTTGGATTATCGGCTATCATTTTTCTACAACTGTCTCTCATGTCCTCATTTTTTATCTATCTCTCTTATGTTTATTATTTTATTTTTTTTTATTTTCAATTTCTCTCTCTTCACACTTACAAAATTGGAAAATTTTTACTGTTCTATAATTCTTTTAAAAAAAATATATCAACCTACATTCAATTCAGTAATATATCTTAATATACTATAGTTTCAAAAAAAATATTATTATTGGTAAAGATGTTTCACTCATTTAATGAACGAAGCTTAATTGGAATAGTGATTTAGGGATCCAAGGAATAGATAAGTCAAAACAAGAGGAATAGAAGAGCAAGTTATTTTGATCGATCGTGAAAATGAGAGAAAGGTATAAGCGAGAAAGAGCTGGGGAAAGAAGACTCATTGTTGAAGTTTGAGAAATCTACAACCTAAGGTAAGGATGGGGTTTCAATTCTCTAATAGGCGGTATAGTCGTTGATAGATGAAGATATGAATGTTAGGGTTTTGGGTGTAGATGATTTTGTTAAAATAATTGTTATAATTGATTGAAGTTGGTGAAATTGATGTGATGATTTAATTAGAATTATTGTGTATAATGTGTGTTGATGATCACATGAATTTACATGTTTTAATGTGTGTATAAAAGTGATTTTGGGTGAAAAAGGTTAAAATTTGGTGGCAGAAAAAATAATATACTTTTGACTCTGTACGTAGTGTAATCGAGTACAACATATGGGGTAACCGGTTACCTGTGTAATTTTGGGGAAAATTGGGCAAAACGTGAAGGTGTAATCGGTTACTGCATATGTGGTAGTCAGTTACCCAACTAGACAGTAACTTGTATTTTTGAGTTTCAGAGGCGTAATCGGTTACCCCATATGCAGTAACAGGTTACCACTGAAGCTGACAGATTTTTTACAAACTTTGAAAATTAATAACTTTTTACTCGGGTGTCCATTTGACGCATCGTTTGAACCGTTGGAAAGCTAAAAATATTTTCTACAATATGATAATAACTTTGATAACAATAGGCGAATTATTTAGGGTTGGATACTTATACTTTGGGTGTCAGTGTCAGATAAGTTGAGGGGTATTCGTGATAACTGAACATGATAAATTTTGCGAATGTGTACGAATGGACAATAGGTTATATTGCTGGATAATTATGACGTTATTGGCCTGGATTGGCGTAAGATTGAGAGTTTATGCTCTATTATTGCATAATTAATGTTGATTTCATAATGTTAAGGATTATGTCGTTGGCCCGAATTGGTTTTTATGTTGAAGGATATTTCCTTATAGTTGTATAATCTTGTCGTTGCATGCCAGTGTCGCATACATGCATCATTGACAACCCAAATTTAACTTATGTTGTTGGCCCATATTTTGTTGTATGTTGATAGCCCATATTAGCTTATGTTGTTGGTCCGGATTGGCTTATGTTGTTGGCCCAGATTTGGTCGTATGTTGATAGCCTGAATTTAGCTTTATGGAGAGGGATTATGCCCTGATGGTATCACATGCATCGTGCATCGACGTCAGTTGCATTGTATTTTGATTGAATTATTGATATAATTGATGATTGTTCAGCTTGAAATCTTGCATGATATATTTGTCGTATACTTATGATTATATAACTTATTATATTATTGTGATATCTCACCCCTTATGTTTGAATGTTGCCTCTACATGGGTAAAATACAGATAACCAGGAGTAGTTTGAGTTGTGGAGTCTATAAGAGGTTTCTCTTCTTATCCTTGAGTCGGCGTCAGTGCTCTGATACGTAACACCGGGGGGATTAACGCTTGCTTATTTCGTTGTTTCATTGTTTTATTTTGGTGATTTGTGTTGAAGTATTATGAACTCCCTTTTGTTTAAATGTTGTTTGATGTTGGTTGAGGAAGTTTTAATGACAACCCTGAATTCGTTTCGCTGTGTTAATAAAGTTGAAATTGAGAACTATGTTAAAAAGTCTTGTCGATTCATCCGCAAAATATGTTATGTATCAATTCAATTATGCACGAGTAGGTTTTTGATATGTTGCAAAATGTGGCATCATATTCTTGATGTTTCTTTTGTGAATTAATTTACTCTAATTTTATTAAATTATTATTGGGGAAATAGGGTGTTACATTAGTGATATCAGAACAGGTCGGTCTATCCGACCAAGTTGTCGAGTCAGTAGTGTAGTGTGACAATTGAATATTGTCGATGTGTTTCTTCTACTCATTGTTTGATGTTATGATGTGAAACAGAGTGATGGCTGAAAGAAACGATATTGCAGTTACTACTGCTTTGCAGGCTTTGGCTCAGGATGTGCAACATCAGCCTAATGTTGGTGGGAGCGATGGATCCCGCGTCTTGGAAACCTTCTAGAGGAACCATTCACCTAAGTTCAAGGGTAAGCATGACCTCAATGAAGTGTAGAGTTGGCTCAAAGAGATCGAGAGGATCTTTCGGGTTATGGAATGTACAAATGCATATAAGGTACACTTCAGTATGCATTAGCTTGCAGGAGAAGCTGATGACTGGTGGGTTAGCACTCGTCAGAGATTGGATGGTGAAGCTGAAGAGGTTACGTGGGTTATATTTAGCAGGGAATTCCTGAGGAAGTACTTTTCGAAAGATGTTCGTGGTAAGAAAGAAATTGAATTTCTGGAACTAAAACAATGAGATTTGTCAATAACTGACTACGCTGCTAAGTTTGTGGAGCTGGCAAAGTTCTACCCTCATTACAGCAAGGCCACTGCTGATTTTTCTAAGTGCATAAAGTTTGAAAATGGCTTGCGTTCAGAGATCAAGAAGGCCATTGGGTATCAACGAATTTGTAAGTTTCCAGATTTGGTGAATAGCTGTAGAATTTATAAAGAGGATAATAAGGCTCACTACAATATCATGAATGAT